TAAGGCTCCAATGTTCTCCAAAAAATCTATTACATCTAGTAATTCCTAAATATTCAGCTGGAAAAATCTAAGTGATTCTGCGAGATGTGCAGATGAACTGCTTCTCCTAACGGGAATCCTTTTCGCGAATATTTTTTGATCTTCGTATCCTTAATCATTTTTTGATTAGCTGTTCATTAACGTTTGAGAGATTCATTGGGAATTCCACATCTTATTCGTAGATGTTCAATTAATTGACTCACGGCTCAGCTTCTTTGCTTCAGGCACGTTAAATTAAAATAAATATCTATTATGGTACCCTCAAGCAAACGAGTTTGGGTTGCACTGGCTAAACTTAAGGATTGAAAATTGCTAAGAATCGTAGCCGTTCCAATGTCTAGGAATTCTGAAGTACGGTAAATTGAAGTCTTACCCGGAAGCAAATGTCAAGAAAAGTAGCGAATTCATAATTGGCAAACCGTACTGATTGATATTCCCGCTCTTCGCTCGGACAAATCCGCCAATTTTTACTACCCCTAGGCGAAGCTAAGAGAACATCTGTGGTGAGATTAGTGGCGCAGTTCGCTACAATTGATGAACTCATACTCAGAGATGGTCAAACGTGACACAACCGCGCACATAAATGTGTTCATTGCGGACGAGAGGAGAGAGTGCCGCTTTACGTCCGTTTCGCGCCTAGAATTAGGCGCCTATTGGTCGTAAGGCGTTTAAGCTTGAGCCAAATAAAAAGTTAATGTTTTTTTTGGAATATCATGTTTTTCTTGGATCTTCTTGTTTTCTCATTTTCCCCACGTGCTACGAACAGAAAAGTAAGTGAGTCTACTTAGTAGTCATTTAACCGTTAGTTATTCATTAGAGCATTTTCTCCCGCAGTTAGACAGGCATTCAGCATTGTTATGATAAATAGCATGCCCCATCTCAAGATGCAATGATGTAAAATTTTTCACATGAACTAAGAAATAGTGTGCGCGTACAAACATTATGAGTTTAGGAAAATATTGAAAGGAGGAAGGTAGACTGATCCAAAACCTTAATCAAACTTTCAGAGTAAGAGTTAGTCCAGAAACACTTAATGTGGTGAATTGAGATTTTGGAGAGCGGGACGCCCTCAATCAAACTTAATTGAGAGTTTACCACAGTGAGGAAAAACTAACAGTTTATAAAGTGACATATCACTCAAGTAAAAAAAAAAACGCTCTAAAGAATGAGAGATAATTGAACAGACCACTTTCTTTGCTTCTTCTGAAACCTGAAATGAAGAAGAAAATGGGGAAATAAGTGGAGTTTACATAAAAACTCGTTTTTCCAACAGAGAAGCACAATTTAATTCGGCTCAAGCCCAAGTGGCTTAAGACTCAAAGCAGCTGAACCGCGCGAAGCGGACGTGATAGCTTGAACTTCCACCATCCTCGAGCTTTGCTATAACTATCTGTTTTACTTGGCGTCACGTTGTTAAATGCTGCCGACATGATATAATCATAAATTTGCTCATCCTCACTAAGGACAAGGAACGAGGGAAGACGTGATCCAAGTTGTAGGATGAGATTTATAAATATAAAACTTGTAGGATTCAAATCCATAAACGTACAATACTACCTTCTAATATACTAAAGAATTATGACGTGAGCAAACGCAAAAGACACTAAGTACAATACTGCAGCAAAACAAAAAATAATTTCAGAAGTTCTTTTGCTATTGTGTTTCATCAAACAGACCCTAGCATTGTCCAGCCGTTTCTGTCTCTCATTACCGTCATCGATGTTGGTAATTTCGTTCACGAAATGATCCATCTTTTGCTAGATTTCACCTAATTCATCCGGACAATGAACACGTCAATGCAGCTGGTCGGTGACCTCCGTTTAGGACGTTTTGCTCCGTTAGAGCTCCATCTCTGATGTTGTGTCCATGACCAGCTGTGTTGACTGTTCATTGTCCATCTGTCATCTGTCCTTCTCATTACATAACCAGCCCATCGCTGCTTTGCCTCAGAGCTCTGTAA